CCGTTTGGGAACAACAAAGGCCCAGTTCCTGTAACTGTTAAGAGAGGTTAAACTAATTAGGTGTCATCAAGCTGAAGTCAAAGTGACTGAAGGAGTTGATGATGGTGAAATGGAACTAGGTGTAGATATTAAATCGGAGCATGAAGCCACTGGATACACTCCAGCAAAGTTGATGTGTGGTCGGGAACTTCGATTGCCAGTAGATCTGTTAACAGGACACCCACCTTATGAAGAGTTGCCTGAAAATGTGTCAGAGTTTGTGAAAGTGTTATCGAAAAGGATGGATGATATTCACCATCAAGTATGTTCAAACTTGAAAACATCTGCTGATTTGATGAAGTTATCTACTGAAGTCAGCTTTGCACCAGGAGACAAGGTGTGGTTGTATAATCCCAGGAAGAACAAAGGAAAGTCTCCTAAGTTGTCTTTTCCATGGGAAGGCCCATATGACATAGTGGATCGTCTCTCAGACGTGACTTTCCAGATAAAATGTGGTCGGCGAGGTAAGCCAAAGGTGGTGCATGCTAACAGACTTTGGCGTTATCATGGTACAGGACATTTCAGTTGGGATGAAGTGAACAACGGAACAAATGACTGCTGAAGATGTGTCACCTGAAAAAGCCACTGTCGAAGAAGAAACTCTACCCGGTTTTGAGAAGGGAAACAGTGAAGCCCTTGATAAGTTACTATCACTGATGTGACTGTTACCAAGGGCGTTTCATGATGAAGCAGATGAACTCCACATGGAGCAGAAGTCAACGAGACGGAGACCAGTACCGAAGATGATACGTCCCGTAAAATTAAGATACTTTGTTGAATTTGAATTTTGTGTTTGTAAATTCTGTACATTTAATTAAGTTATGGTTAATTGTTTATTGGTTTAATGTAAGTGGCTATTGTTCGGGACGAACAATACTAAGGAAGGGGCAGTGACGCTAGTAACGCGTCATATTCTCGAACATTCACGTTTCTTCCTGAAGTCTCGAGAGGCTACTAGATATGCGGTAGTCTTGTATATATAAGCCGCCAAGAAGTGACGGCAACAATGTGTGTAATTGACAGCTGAGTCGAGCACGTGAGACGTTCGTTGTGAATTATAGCGTTTGTTATAGCGCGACTGTGGAAATTAAGTGTATTGCAAAGTTGTATTCAGAAAGAATAAACTAGTTTTATTTAATTTTATTTGTATCGCTAAGGTTTCTTCGGAAAGAATTTTTACGGAAAATTAATTAACGACCAGAAACGTAACATCGTTATAGTTACTGCAAATAGTGGCGTTAGCCCCATCTCGGTATGTGCAAGATTCTGTTAGTATGTTGATGATGAATTTTCTGCTTTAGAAGAAATTAAATAAGCGATTGGTACACAAGTTATAACTACAAGAAATCCAAAACAATGGTCAAAACTACTAAATAACCATAAAAAAAGAATCAAAGTTTACTTCTAACATGAAAGAGGCCAACATTCGCAGGCGAATGCATAATGTCTCTGCCACGCAATCCTAACATGATCATTTTTGAGATCAGAAAAATCAAACTGTCTATATCTTTATTTGGGACCTACAAGAATGTATCTTTATACCAAATCCCATGCAAGTTGGTCAAAATATGACCGACTAATTGACCAAAAACCCAATATTATGCTTTTTTGTGAGGCCTGATCACCCCCCCCCCCCCCCAAAAAAAACTCAAAATGGGAAAATACAACATTTTTTAATGCTAATGTGTTGGGCGCTCAACCATTTGTTTGTATCAACTTTCATCATAACTGCTATAAATATGGCCGCGTAGGAGCCAAAAATAAACATCTTGGAATTTTAAGATACAAGATATAAGTAAGAGAGAGAGAAAAAAAAGAAAAATTTCTGGGCATATTGGACCAAGGTATAATCCTACCAAGGTTTAAGTAAATCTGTAAAGAAATGAAGGAATGACGGTTGATTGAAAAGTGTTTGGAAGAAGAAGAAACAATAGAAAACAGCATGTCTCTCCGGAGACATAATAAATATAGGGTTCAAAATCTACTTGTTAATAACCATGTAGCTATGAGACGTTGGAAAATTTCACCCAAGATATAGGTTTGATACGTGAAAATATCTGTATATTGTAAACCGCTCGTTACGGTGGTATACTAATGGAAATTCGCGTCTCGCGCATTGACAAATCACGCATAATAGCGGAAATACTCGAATTTCTGGAGACGGCTAATCAATCGTCCCGAAATTGAAATCCTTACGTCATCCTCATGTATAAACTTCGCTAACTAGGCCAAAAATGAATGAAGATCGTGAAATGGACTTACAAGAAAAAACTTTTTCTATAATTTACAACATGGAACGGCAGTTTTGTACAATAAAAATGTTACATCTCTGGTCGTTTGTTAATTTCCCGTATAATTTCTTTCGGATGAAACTTTAGCGATACAAGTCCTTTCTTAAATAAAACTAGTTTATTCTTTCTCAATACAACTTTGCAATACACTTAATTTCCACAGTCACTTTAACTTAAACAGACGCTAGAATTCACAACGATTTACACACTCTACTTACGGCTTATTTGCCAGTCTTATATATACAAAATAGAGGGCGTCTCGAGCCTTCAGGAACCTTCTAGATACTTATTACGTGTTACTAGGGTCACGTGACTTCCGCTGTCGTAACAATAACATAATTACCAAACCTAGAGTTCGTAGACCTATTTAGGGAAAATTTGAAAATTGTACACTAGTTTAAGGCTGTGAAATTTTCTTTTAAAATATTTAATTATTATAGACTTGTATTACAACATTTCTTGGTTTCACTCAGAGCCAAAACTCGCAACTTCTTGTACCGCCCACTGCGGAAGGTAATTTTTTAGCATTTTAGTCATGCTAAGAGCTCTCAACAATAACATAGGTAAATCTACATTTTTATTCTTTAAGTTTTGACATATATTGAAGTGTGATTAATTCCTGACAATTTAGTGGAAATATCCTGTGAAATAAAATTTGGCATCAACATTATTCATGCCTGTTCTCCCGTCACTTCAAAATCGAATGTTGAGCTTTGCGTGCGTGTCCAGCTTTTCTAACGCAGCGCGTGAAGCGGCTATCGCTCGGAGAATGCACCATAGTTTGCATATATATACAAGATGAGTTTCGAACAATATCTGTGTGTATTATGACATACATGCAAAAACCTATAGGAA